CCCAGCCCCTGTCCTTCACACTTGTAATCCTAGCTATTCAGGAGATCTGAAGGTTGCAGTTTGAAGCAGAAAAGTCTGTGAGAGTCTTTCCTCCAATGAACTAGCAAAAAACCAGAAGTAGAGCTGTGGCTCACGTGAGAGCAGCAACTTAAAAAAAAAAAAAAGCCAACTAAGAGCTCAAGACCATGAGTTCAAACCCTAGTACCCTGGGGGTACATGCATGCACACATACACACACACACACATAGTCTAGCCAGCTATGGTGGTACAGGTAATGTGGCTTAGTGGTAGAGTGCTTGCCTAGCATGCATGATGCCCTGGGTTCAATTCCTCAGTACCACATCCATAGAAAAAAAGCTGGAAGTGGTGCTGTGGCTCAAGTGGTAGAGTGCTAGCCTTGAGCAAAAGTAGCTCAGGGACAGTGGGCAGGCCCTGAGTTCAAGTCCCTGGTCTAGCGCGCACACACACACACACAAATCTCTGGGGTTTTCCAGCTTGAACTGGCTTCAAATCACGATCCTCACACCTCAGCCTTGGGTGGGAATAGTGGAGGGAAGCTAGAGGATTAGCTATTGGGGAATTCCAGCTGGGAGAGAAAAGTGGGTCGCCTGGCAGTGTACCACACACATAGGTCCGACGCAGATAAGACAAACTCCTTTGGGGAGCATATGTCACTGATAACCTTGGGGAAACAAAGGCTTCTCCCAGTAGGCTATGGAGCAGAGGGAGATAAAAATCAGTTACCTCTGTTTTGGGATTGCCTTGTTCATTTTGGTGATTCAGATTTCTAGGCTCCCACTCCTGGAAATCTTGACCCCTTGTCTGTCCATTCCTAGAACGGGTCAGGTTGCTTCTCCTAATGACCAACAGAGGGCGCAGCTCTTTCGAGCCAAGTGCAGTCAGCCTCTCAAGCATGCACTGAGGCCCCCTTTTGTCCTCTCAGATGTCTTTTCAACTTGGGGTTGATCCAAGGGCTTTTCTAGGACTACTGTGATGATTATGTCTTGCCACTAGATGGCGATGGTGCCAAAGTTAGTCTCCTGAAGCAGCTGCTCCCTCCTCTGCCCTGAATCAGTCAGTAATTAGGAGTTGCTGGGGATCAGCAACCACCCCACCTCACCCTTTCCCCTTCCCCCTCCTGGTTGCTTGTTTTGTTTTGTGATGTTTGGAATAAGGATAGAATGAAGCCAGCCTGGCAAGCACGCCACACCATGCAGCTAGCTCCATCTGTGTGTGTGTGTGTGTGTGTGTGTGTGTGTGTGTGTGTGTCTGGTTTTATTCTGTTTTGTTTTCACCAGTCCTGGGGCTTGAACTGTGGCCTGAGCTCTGTCCTTGAGCTTCTTTGCCT